GGGTATACCAAACAAACTGATTATTTTTAATAATTCTTTAATTGTAGACTCAGTAGTTATATCTCTCATTCTTCTAATATCAGGGAATTCGCTAAATGCGTCAACACATACCAAGAAATTGCTACCTTCAAATGCAAAGTCGATGTGCACGCGTTCAAACACTTTAACAGCTGTTTCCCATGGATTTTGTACATTGTGAGGATTGTCCGCATATTTATTATACGTGTCACAGTTTCTCATCTCCTGATCTATTTCAGCGTTTAGACCTGGCCACCACACGTAATCTCTCGCCAACAATTTCGTTTTCCCAGCACCAAGATGCCCTTTGTGTAATTCCTGTAATATCTCCTTTCTCATATTTTTTGGTATAATGATCCTATTCTCTTTAAAAAGACAATCTTTAATTAAGCTCAGTTCCATTTCCATATTTTTATATATTTTATTCTTTATTCTTTATCTGTTCATGATTCTTTATATTGTTGATTACCTCCTTAATTCGATATCAATACTAGTTTCTTTAACTATTCTTTTAAAATTTATTGGTAAATCCCAAAATTTGTCATCAATTTTTTTATCATCTATCTCATGTATCATTTCTTCTGTGTTCATTTGGGGTAATCTTGACAAACAATCCGGTACTATATTTCGTTTCCCGGGTCTATGAATTATCGTAAAGTAATAAGCTCCCATAGCCAAACTCCATTTTTGAAGTCTCATTGATATGGACGAGTTATCCTTAAGTCCCTTCGTAAATATGTAAACGAGTGGCTTGTGATCTGTGATTATTGTAAATCTCGTACCAATTAAATATTCTTGAAACTTTTTTACCGCGTATATAACAGATAAAGCTTCCCTCTCTATATTAGTGTAATTAAACTCTGATTTCAATAAAGCTCTTGACGCGAAAGCAATGGGTTTCTCTTTACCATCACCTTCAATATGAAATAAGACTGCGCCTAGACCTTTCTTTGAAGCATCAGTTGCAATGCCTATTGGTAGATCCAGATTATAAAAATTTAACGTAGGCGGAGTACTTATCAGATTTTTTAGGTCGTCGAAGCTTTCTTGATGTGTATTATCCCATAACCATTTGTCTTTATTAACCATTTAAAGGATCAGCTATGTCCGCAAAATTACATAAAAATTTTCGATAATAGCTCGCCATCCCCAAAAAAGTTGTCAGTTCATCTTTTGTCTTCGGTTCCGGCATGTTAGAAATAGCTTTTATCTTATCATCGTTGGGATGTATATCATGTTTATCTATATCATGTCCCAAGAAACGTATTTTATCTTGCAGGAATAAACTTTTGTCGAAATTTGGGGTTAATCCATACTTGACGATCTTTTCAAATACTTTTTTAATGTTATCCAAATGTTTCTCATCGTTATCACCTGTGATTAACAAGTCGTCAATGTAAAATATAACATCTTTTAAATCTCCGAAAATGTTATCCATAGTTTGTTGGAATATTGCCGACGAAGTTTTTAAACCAAACGGTAGTCTCGTAAACCTATAATAACCTTTATGTGTCGATATCGTAAGAAAATCTCTTGATTCCTTGTGTATGGGTATTTGGAGAAACGCGTTTTTAAAATCTATCTTGGTAAATTTTTTACCTTTAGATAATTCGATTAAATCCTTTAAACGTGGTATAGGGTACTTGAAATCTTGTAAAGCAGGGTTGATAGTATGTTTGAAGTCGGCGCAGAGCCTAAGTGAGCCATCGCTCTTATAAACGGGAGTGAGAGGACTAGCCCATCTAACATCTTCAACGGGTTCAATAATTTTATCGTTTATCGACTTTTGAAGTTCTTTTGTTATCAAATCAACTCTAGAATATGGTATATGCTTTGGCGGTATGATTTTCGGTGTGGCATCGTGTTTTAAACGTAATTTGACATAGCTGCGTAGCATTGGTTTTTTGTTAAGTTTAAAATTGCATTGCTTGATTAATTCTTATATGGTATTATCATAATCATCCTCGACAATATTCACAAATTTATCTAGTACTTCCTAACAATGCAATCTTATCACTCTGGACTACATAAGTAGTTAAGATTTGACTTTTGTCCTCGAATTTTGCCTTGACTTTGGTAGTTCCTAATACATTTATTGTGTTTCTATCATATCCAGTTAATTTAATATCTGATTTATTTAAGATTTTTACTCCAATCTTTTTCGCGATATGAATCGGTAGAATACTATACCTCGAGCCGGTATCAATCTGCATCAAAATAGGCATGTCGTTCAAATATACCGTGACCTTATAAGCATCGTTAGCTGTGTAATTATTATCGGTATCCATATTGTTTATGTCTAAATTGTATAAATTACATTCTTTGAAGTGATGATACGAGTTTTCTAAATATAAAAATCGTTTATTTAAATAAATAATTTAATTTTATACAATATAATTTAAAATTTTACATCTTTTTTAAACTAAAAAAAATCTGCTTTATATAACAATTTTCATATTAATATATCAAAATTTAAAAAAAATCAATCTATCAATTTATAAAAAAATCAATTTATATCAACATAAAAAAAGCAATTTAAAGGTTAGTATTAATCGGTCATATTAACAGAGCTTTTAAAATACATAAAGTATAAAAAATTTAAATGTTGAAAATATAAATTAATACACAAAAAGTTTCTTAGGAATAATTGTATTTTGTATGTTTTGAGCTAATTTTTCAATTATCTATCCTTGATTGGCGTTAAATGCCTATGAATATTCAAAAGATCCAAATCATTCAATCTACTTTCAGATGTTGTATTTCATAGGTATGTTTTTCATAGACTTGCAGGCCCGGCCCCCGAGCCGGACCGTATTTTAATTTTTTTAAATATACCCGGGCCTGGCCCGTAATTTTTTTTTTAAAAAAAACACCCGGGCTGGGCCTGAAATTTTTTTTAGAAAAAATATCCCGCTGTATATTTTAAAACCAAATATTTGAAATCGCCATTATTAGCTATAAAAATCAATTATTTAAAAAAAATTCCGGTCGGGCCTGAAAATTTTATTTTCAAAAAAGCCGGGCCGGGCTTGAAAATTTTTTAAAAAAAAACCTGGGCTGGAAAAAATTTTTAAAAAAAATCTGGGCCGTGTCCTGCAAATGGTACCTCTGCAAGGCTCTGTTATTCTTCTTAAAAAAGAGAATGTTCTCTCATTAGTTTACTGCAAGGCTCTGTTATTCTTCTTAAAAAAGAGAATGTTCCCTTTACTAAAGAGCTGCTAATATATATATATAACCATTTTAATACATTGGGAGTATAATCTAAAATGTGTTTGAAATAAAAAGCATCCATAACATTTTTTGGGACTATATCAACCATAGTTAATCTTTTAATCATAGTTATTCAGCTAATAAGGCATCATAAGATATTTTAACATCTTCATGATAAAAATCTAACAAATATTTGTATTTTATAGATGAATGTGATAAATAAATGTAATTAAATATGGAATAAATATTAACAAATATAAATTAATATTAACAATAATATTTTTGAAAAATATAAACCGTCATCTGCATTTTTTGGCTTTGGGGGGGGGGGGGGATTTGTCCCCCTGCCCCCCCCTCCGCTGCGTACGCCAATGCATTGTAAATATATAACATACAAAATACAATTATTCCTAAGAAATTGTGTATTAATTTATATTTCTAACATTTAAATTTTTTATACTTTATATATAAATTTTAAAGGCTCAAAAAATTCAAATTTCTATTTTGGGTCATTTAAATGATTCTTTACATATAATTTTTTTTTAATTCACATTAATTTAAAATTTGTATTAGAAATAGTTATTAGTCCTAATAAATTTATGATTAATATTTTTAAAAAACAATAATTTCTTAAAAAAATTTATTATCCACCCCACTCCCCCCCCCCCTGACAAATTCCTGCGTACACGCCTAGCTTTTATTACAGTCTTATCTAAAAATATATATGCGACTAGGACTTATGGAACTATGTTAAAGGTGCAGAATATAATTTTATCTCCTGCTATAAAACTGGGCCTTCATTTTAAAATTTTGTAATATGATAAGGTAAGGAAAGGAAAAGAGATAAAGAAAAAAGAAAGTTTTTTTCCTTTCCTTTAAAAATATATTTATACTAGCATATGCATAGCCAGGATTTTAAGAGTATGGGGGAGGGGGTAATTCATAAATTTTTGTGTAGCTTAACCCCCAAACTTCCTCTTTAGATGGCCAACGGCCGGATTTTCCCCGGTCAGGGTTTTCTTAGCATATATATAGATAGAAAATATTTTTATAGGATGGGAGGTCAATTTTAAAATAAAAAACAACTTATTATTATTATTTAAAATGTACGAAATTGGTTACCAAGATATTGTATCAAAAAATAAGCTATGTCTGACAAATAGGAAATATATCCTAATTTGTTTGTAAAAATATAATAAAATTCACATACATATATTAATACAAAAACTTAGTTAAAATTTATAATCTTACATCGAATGAGTTTTATACCTCATTAATTATTTCAGAATAACTAGTGTTAATTCCAGATGGATATTTAATTAACTTTTACATTCTTTCTTTCAAACTATTGTTTAAGATATATGCATACATTTTTGGGGGACATGTAAGGAAAAGTCTAAGGAGGATATTTTTTATTAGCTTAAAAAAAATATTCATAATAAAGTGACATATTTTTGAAGGGGTGGAATTTTCCCTTATAAATTTAGTACACATAGCTACCATCCATGATATATAATAATTTTCTCTACATATTTTATTCTATCTCATATAGTCATCATATTTAGGGTGTGCTTTATTTATATTTATTTCTTATATTGATTAATAAATAAAGCCTAGTTTTAATTATATAAAAAGTAATATATATTTTCTAAAGTTAAGATGTTACTAAAGCTATAATACTATTGTTACCTTTTTTAAAATTCAAACATTGATATAAACATTTGTCATAGTTTGGCAATCGTCTATCACTCAAATCGATAATAATCAACAAAATAAATCGATTGGAAGCTTTAACAAATTACATTCATAATCTATTATATAACAGACTCAATTAAATGTAATATACATGATCGTATATTTAGATAAGGGATAAAATAATGTTGTGTCAACTGATAATATTTATAGTCTTTTGTGTAACTCAAGTAAGCCATCATAAATCTTTATTATATGATTTTGATAAATATATCCTTATTATCCGTGAATATAATATTGCATTTTCAAAAGTGGCGTATTTTATCTAATATAGATTAAGTTTCGTAATAGTTAATGTAGCATTACTAATACTATCATAGTTTATATATAATAAGATAGGGATTAAATAATATTTAGATTAGACAATGTTAAAACCCTATTAATCAATAACTTTTATTAATAATTAAAAAATATTTTATTCAGGATTTTTGTTTAAGTATGAATAAACTTATTTTAACTCTAAGCATAGTCAAAATGTTTATATAATGATTTTTTGGAAATTAATATCAGGACACCTAATAATATTGTGGATTTGTAGTAAGGCAAGAGGTGGGAAGGAAAGAAAACAATCAAATCCAAAATAACTTAGAGAAGTATTTTAGAAAAAAACAGAAATGCACTCTTAAGTAGAGATCTGCAAATCATTGGCTCAGCCTTTACATGGCCTTAATGGGTTTCAGGCTGGGCCAGGTCTTATATTTTTTAAAAAGTTTTAGGCTGGGCTAGGTTGGGCATAAATTTTTAAATATGATATCATTACATTTTGTCAAAAGAACTACACTATAAAAATACCCAGCAAAAATAAGAAAATTCCTATTAATTTTTACTAAAATATTTTTTTTAAATAAAATCTAATAACTAGTAAAAAAAATAAGAAAAGTTTTTAATCAAGCCAAAATATTTAATAATTCCTGATTCTTTATCCTACCTCTACCTCTAGTGAAAGTCGTGTCCAAAACTTGTTAAATTTTGAAACTTAGATAATCTTGAAAAAATATCTTGAACACATTTTCATAAAATACATATTTTTTTTATTTTCATTTAATTTTTTCAAAATTTATAAATGCTTCTTTTTAATAGCCAAACAAAACAAAGTCAATATTTTTAAATATCAAAATAACATACAATTTTATTGATTTGTTGATACTAATATTGGTTTTATAACAATTTATTTTTAACCTTCATTAATATTTTCTTATAAATTTTTAATGCCATATTTATATTGTATTATTATTAATCACTTAATATTTTAAAAACTTTTGGAATCTAAATTTTTAAGCTTCAATTATGATAAATGTTTGTCATAACAAAAAAAAAATGGTTATCTCTGATAGTTATCATGGTATTCATGAACTTATATATGAATACTACAAATATTGAATAGCAAAATATAGGCATGACAATAATGTTCTATAGTTGGGTCACAAATGTTTAATATTACATATTTCCATATATTTTTCTTCAGAAAAGTTCTCCAAAGAATACCAAACTTAAACACTATTTTTTTAAATATAAAATATTTTTTTTAAAGATTAATTATACTTTAAAAATCTTACTACCGTGACATTCATTTTATGTACAGATTTCTCACAAATCACAAATAAAATAATATTTTTTAAAAAATGTTATAAAATAGATATACTTTATTTATTTAATTTTTGTTAGACCCTGTTATAATGGTATTACAATTCATATCAAATTCAGGACAGTTGTCTTGTTATTATCAAACAAAAATTTTTTTTTCATAATCATAATATTTTAGTTTTTTTGTCGATATGAGAGGCCTATTTGGTGATCGATAATTTTTATATAAATTCTTTTATTATTTTCTTTTTCCGCCTTATTTAACTAGCTTATATATTTTTATACAAACATTTCTAAACTCAAAATCAAATTCCTCTATTCAAATTCTCTCTTATATTTTGATGGGATTGAGACCGGTAAGTCTATTATTTGTGATTTTGTTTCCATTTATTTATGTTCTTATCTATACTTTTCATGATTTTATAATACGCCACTTCTTTAAAATGTTATTGAATCGAGTTGCCAAAATCCTGGCAAACTTACTACTAAATGCAATTAAAATTTAATTTGTTTTTTTAAGTCATCCGCATTTCATTGCTGGAATAATATTTTTAAAACTATGTAGAAAATGTTGACGAGGAGGATAAGTATTAAACCAGAAATTAGTTTTGTTAGAAACCTCTATACCTATATTTTTTATTTAAAAAACGATGAAATCTAGGATTTTATCAAAAGATGGCAAAGTTTTTTGATAAAATCTAGAGGTTCATGTAATATGTTTTTGCCCAAAATCTTGATTTAGCGGTTTTTTAAAAAATCGGTACTAAATCGAGGTTTTTAACAACACTACCCGATTCGGTTGGATTTTTTAAAACGGCCTGAACGATTTTAGCCATGGCTAATAGATTGCTGAAAGGTTTGGACCTCTGCCAAATCTTGGCTTACATAATAATTTGCCTAATCGGGCTTATTAGCAACCACCACAAATATATCAATAATTTTAAAAAAAATTTGTTCACCGTTTGATATATCAGATCAACCTCTTTCTGATGCTTAAAATAAATGATTGAGCGATACATCAGCCATTTTTATTAAATTTCTTAATAGGTTTGTTTTTGAAAAAAACTCCATATTTAACAAACAAGCCCCCTTATATAACTCATGTTTTTTTGTTCATTTCGTGTGCGTGTCAATATCATAAAAGAAAATAATTTTTAAAAATAATAATTATATGCAAAAATAAATTAAAAAAATATGGATGAGGCACTTGAACTGTGAATTAAAATGATTTTCATCTGCCCTCATCTATTTTTAATCCTATGGTCACCTTTTTTTCAAAGTTCACAAACTCTTCAATTATTTTTAAAATTAATTTTTTGTGGTAATTGGTCTTGATCAAATTTTTCTCAAAATTCGAAATATTTGTGAAAAAGAAAAATATTATGAATGAATCTTTTGTGATATATATAATATTAAAAAAATTTTGCTCAAAATATTTGGCTAAAAAAAATTTCTAATGTTTATGAAATTTTTTTTGCTAAGCTTTCCTTTTTCGCTATTTATTCATTATATATTCATCGTTATCCCTTTTCAGTAATCATTATTTTTAGATTAATAGACGTCCAAACTTTTCTATCATCTATGAGAAAAATCTCCTGGCTTACATAATATTATTTTGGCTAAAATCTTATTCGGGTCTTTTTTAAAAATCCACCCTAATCGGGCTTTTTAACAAAACAATTTTTCTTATTATCAAATTTTTGATTTGTTTCACACCCATTTTTTAAATAAACAATATTATTCAAAAAAATGATATTTATATATATTTTTTAAATGTAATCGTTTTAAAAAATTAATTAATATAATCAGTTGAAATATATCTAAATTTATAAATAATTATTTATGATATTTTAATTTTTTTATTTACAAGGCTACTTTTTTTTTGAAAAGTCGTAAGATTTTTTCTCTCGATTTATCAAATTAATTTTTTTTTTAAAAAATGATTTATTATATTTATTTTATCAGGTAAAGTCGAAATTTTGCCGTAACTTTTACACCGGAGACATCTTTCAGTGAGTGAGCTTTTTGGCACTGTTTGTTTTTATTTATTTTCATTTAACAATATCTGTGATTCGTTGTCCAAAATTTTAATCCAGGCTACCCCAATGACATAATAATTATATAGACTGACGTTCCATTCATTAAAATGCCCTTTGAAGCAAACAGTTGGTGAGAACCATTTTTGTTTTAAAAGTATCTGTAAAATTTTAATGTAAATTGTTTATACGGGAAATTAAAATGGCATGCCACCCGCTGATTTGTATTGATACAAATTTAAATGAATGAATCTTCAATCAAGGTATTATTATATGTGGGGTACCCCAAAGCTGATTTATTTTCGTAAAAGCTATAATATTTTAAGGATAATAGCTCAACTCAAGGAATGTTCAGCTGAAGGAAACTTTTTATATTGGATGAAATATATATAAAATTTAACAAATATCTAAAGTAAGGAATAGGATTACAGTTTAAAGAGATATAGATTAGGGTGAATAATTGGCTAGGGTTAAGATATTAAAAATGGTGTTTTGATAAATTTATACCGGTCATGGGATATAATTAAACTAATTGAAATTAAATCACCTATTGTAACGGCAATTTCCTTGAGTTGGACTATAATCATATTAATATGAAACAACTATACAATAAAAAAATTCTTGGGACGCATTATCGCACACAAAAATATTAATCAGCTGAACGTAGGATTAATTAAGATTTTAATGTAATTAGATTCTAACTAACCTTTATGAATAAAATGACGATATAAATTCATTAATTCAAAAAACATCAAATTTTATTGACCTGAAAGTTATATTTCTCATTTTTGAAGCGAATTTTTATGATTATACTAATGTTTATAATCAAATTTAAAATTAGCTATTTGTGATATTTTTATAGATGCTCGCATTATCAAACCTGTTGCAGAGATATGTGCTGCACAGCTCCGTTTTCATTTATCAATCTTTGGTATTTTTGGTAAAAAAAATTTTTTTATTGTAAGCAATCTGAATTCGATTTTGGTTTAGGAATTTTTAACTCTTTTGCTGGGAATTTTGCTAGCACAAATTCAATAGTGACCACTTTTCCAAAATGTGTCCGAAATACATCGAGATTAGTTTGGGTTAAAATCGGTTCCCATTTAGGCTATATATGTAAAATGTCTAACAAAAGAGTTAAAAATTTTTGAACCCTAGACTGGATTTAATTTAAATATATGATTATTTGTTTTGTTTTTAAAATTTGAGACAATCGTAAACTTGAACTAATTTTTTTAAACATTAAATATTGACGACTAATTAATATGCATGACATTAATACCTCCCTAAATTGATAATTCATTTATATGAACTTTGAAGTTCGTTGAACCCAAATCAGCTGGAGACGCATCAACTTATTTACACGGCCCTTGTTTTGATCAAATCCCAAGGCTTAGATAATTTTTTTTTGACTAAATTCTTGATTTACCCGTTTTTAAAAAAACCGCCTAAATTTAGATTTTCGGCAACTCTAAATACACATTTAAATGAATGAATATACAGTCCCGGGTAATATATGTCACCGAATTATACATAATTTATAATATTACGGTGAAATTCGTCCTAATCTTAATCTTTAAATTACAATAGATTTTATTAAATTTAGTATTGGTAAACAGTTTTGATTTTTAAAAACGGCCAACCTAATATTATAGCCTACGCAAACTTAGAGAGATTGCTTAAAGATGGCAGGAAGGTTTCGACATCTATTAACGAAATTTCGAGGCTTACGTAATACTTTACTGGCTAAAATTATAATTTTAAATCGGTTAAATAGTTGTTTAACAACACTGACTTATATTAGACATAGAGAAATTCCATCACCCAACGAAATAAAATTCCACCTTTTAAAATTTTATGATAAAACAATTTTAAAAAAAAGAAGACTTTTACTAAATTTCATGTGTATAAATATAAATATTGTACTGATATATAGGATATTCATTCTCCTCCTCTTGTGCCTCTGTTCCGGAGGAGGTTACTGGTACAAGAGACGTTACAGCAATGGCTTCATTACCTCATCCGCTCCCAACGGTTTATTCGGGTCAGGCTTTCCAAGCAGAAGGGGATTTTTGGGAGCTTCCAGCCTTTTCGGTGCTAGTTCTCACCCTAGACCCTTTTACGCCAATACTGCTGGCGGATTTCAAGGTTATTTATTATACACTTATATTCTTAATTTACTGAAAGTTATAAAAGAAATTTCTTTTTTAAAATATTGTATTATCGAATTAACAAATTTTTTACGATAAAAATCAAATCATTTTTTTATATAAAATTTTATATAACAAAAAACAATTACATTTATATTTTTTTTCATTTACACTTATATATATTTAAAAAAAGAAATCTCACAAATGGGTCACATTTTTGAACTCTTACGAATAATTTTTTTTTATCCGTTATACTTAAAATGAATGAATAATTTTTTCTAAATTGAAATTATGAAGAAAGTAAAAAAGGTTATTAACAAAAAAATCACACCTTTTATATATTTATTATTTTTGTAAAAAAAAAATAGAAAATTCCGTCTTACCGACCTAATTATAAATATTTTATATTGAAAAATATTTTGAAGGAATTTATTTCAATGCCTTTCAATTACCGTTTAGTTTAAATTCCGTATTCACTCTGTAACATTTTTTGTAGATAATTTAAGTTTTTTGGTCTAATTGGCAAAAAAACCTGATATAAATGGTTGGCTGTATTCAGATCGAGTTTAGATTCTAAATGAAATTTAATTTTTTCGATTTGTGTATACGGTCTGAATCCAGATCCAGACCATTGACTTTATATTTTAATCTTGAAATTGTTTTTTTTTTCAAGTTTCATAATTAAACCACGTTATTCATTCATCAAGGTTTTTTAATTGCTATTTGTTTTTTGATTTTAAGTTACTATTTTAAAATATTTTGTTAGTCGAATGGTATTAGTTCAGTTCATCAGACCTGGCGATGATTGATTCCTGAATTTTAATCTGATTTTTATACGAAATAGGAATTTGCCTCTAATTTTAGTCTAGTGCTACTTGCTATATAGTCGGTAAACAGTCATATACCGAAAATTTTAAATTGTCTAAATTTAGGTGAAATAAGTAGAGCAAGTCAATTTTATTTATATCCAAATATACTGCTAAATTTGGATTTTTTTTTATCATTAAAAACACAAATTGGATAAGTCTAGTTAATATAGCACTAATAAAATACCATACCCACATGACTGAACTAAGGCAAATTCAGGGACGAGAACCTGAACCCTCAATATTTCGCCGAACCCAAACACTTTTTTAAAATTTAGGGTTCAGGGATCAAGTTTTTTTAAAAATTTTATAAAATATATTTTTTTTATTTTAAACCTTCATTTTATTTATTTTAAATTATATTTAAAAATAATATAATATAAAAAACATGTAATTTACGATTTTTATTTATAAAAGATTTCCTATTCAAAAAGAGTTGTTTTCAAAACAATTGTTTTTTTATTCAAAAAAAATATTAATTTAAAAAAAACATTTTTGGGTCATTTTTTTCATGTAATTATTTTTGTTATATTTAATAATTTTTTAAATTGCATTTTATTATATCTTCGGTCTAGAATTGGGGCGCTCCACTTACGCAAATGTTTAAAATGAGAAAATCATCATTAAAGTTTAAAATTAAATATAGGAAAAACTTATTGATCAATTTTGACAATAACTTTGGCGAAAATTAATATTTTTTAATCTAGTTTTTATTTTTATAAATATTGGGAATAAATACACTTCTAATTCAAAAATTTTGAATGTTTAAAATGAGAAAATCATCATTAAAGTATAAAATCAAATATAGGAAAAATTTATTTATCAATTTTGACAATAACTTTGGCAGAAATTAATATTTTTTTAATCTAGTTTTTATTTTTATATATATTGGGAATAAATAAGTTATTATCCACTTCTAACTCAAAAATTTTGAAAATGTCGAGTGGAGCACTCCAATTCTAGACCGACGATATTATATATTTTTTTTTCTCTGTAGCTTTCACCTTTTCTGGTGGTAAGCTCCTTCAACATCTCTCTCCACTTTATGTTATTCATACAATCTCTTATCTAATACTTCTTTATATTGGCTCTAACTTTATGGCCCCATTGAAGTTTTGGCCTTCCTCTTTTACGTTTGCCCATCACTTCTAAACTCAACTTTATTTCCTATGTAGTTCATAGGCCTTCTCATTGTGTGCCCATACCACCTAAGTCTGTTTACCATTAACTTAGTCTTAATGGGCACTACCTTTAAACTACTGAGTATTCCTGTACTGCGCACTTTACCCTTTCTTGTTACCCCAGCAATCATCCTCAGCATTCCATCTCCATAGTTTGTAGACTTCTCTCGTCTGATTCTTTGGTTGGCCATGATTCCGAACTATATAAAATAGTTGGTTGTACTATGGAACTGTAAATTTTTCCCTTTAATTTGTGTGGGATTCTTTTGTCAAATAGCACTCCAGATAAAGATCTCCACTTTAACCACCCTTGATTAATCTTACTCTTTATCTCTTTTTCTATTGTGCCGTTTGTTTGTATAGTGGAGCCCAAATATTTGCAGCTTTCAATTGTCGATATCTGCCATTCATTTATATCAATTATCTCTGTTTCATCTCCTCCTATCACCATATAATCCGTCTTTTATCTATTTACTTTTAATCCGTGCTTTTCTAGGATATTTATCCAACTCACTAATCTTTCTTTCATTTCATCCTTGGATTCGGCAAGTATCGCAATATCATCTGCAAATATCATATTCCACGGGACTGTTTGAGGTATAGACTGTGCTAATACATCTATTACTGTAATGAAGAGAAATGGGCTGAGAGTCGACCCTTGATGAACTCCTTCGGCTATTGTGAAGCCTGCTAAAATACCTGTTGTGCTACGGACCATTGTTGTATGGCCCATATACATATCCTGTATTATTCTTATATATTTTTCGGGAACCTTTTTGTGGCTTAGCGCCCACCAGAAAAGTTTTCCTGGGATTCTATCGAAGGCCTTTTCTAGATCGAGAAAGACCATGGTAGCTTTTTGTTCTTTTCCCTGTATTTTTCACTCATTTGCCTAATTGCGTGGATAGCATCGGTTGTTGATCTTCCAGGCATAAAGCCAAATTGAGTCTCTCCTATTTCGATATCTCTTAATCTTTTTTCTATTATTTTTTCATATAGTTTTAGACAGTGTAACATTAGTTTTATGCCCCTGTAATTTTGACAATTGTATGGATCCCCTTTATTTTTGAAGATAGGAACTAAATAGCTCTGCCTCCATTTTTGGGGAACCTCTTCATTTCCAAGTATTTTATTGTACAGATTTATGAGGAGATGTATTCCATCATCTCCTAGTGCTTTAAGGCTTTCTATTGGAATATCGTCTGGACCCATAGCTTTTTTGTTTTTCATATGCTTGAGGCATGTGATTATTTCTTGTTCTGTTATAGGTTGTACAAGGTTTTGACAAGGGGGGGGGATGTTTATTTAGATGTAGTATGTGGGGAATAAAGTTGAGAAGCTCCTGAAAATATTCCTTCCATCTATTGATTATTTCTTTTCCCTTTATTATCAATTTCCCATCTTTATTTTTGATTACTTTCGGAGCTCCGTTTATATCCCTAGAGTTCTTTTTTCGCTGTTTGGCTAATCTGTATATTTTATTTTGCCCTTCTTTGGTATGAGATTTTCGTACATGTCATCGTATGCCATAGATTTGGCCCTAGCCACCGCCTTTGTAGCTATTCTCTTGGATTTTTTGTAATTTGTCTTGTTATCTGGGTTTGCTTTGTACCATATTTTATATAGTGCTTTTTTCTCCTCTATAGTGGTTTGTACCTCTTCATTCTACCACCATAGTTCTTTGTATGATTTGTTGCTTCCCCTTGTCAAGCCTTGTGTCGATTGGGCAGTGTATATTAATCTGGATGAAAGGTCTGTCCACATTTTTTCACTGACTTGTGAGGAATCTATTGTTTCAATGTTTGCATTGATTGCAAAGGCATCTGTCATTGTTTTTAATTTGCCCCATTTGATGCATGGTTCCAGTTTTATCTTGTTTTGAGTGGATTTATTTGAGATGTGTAAATCCATGATTAGTAGCTTGTGTTGCACGGCGATATCTTCTCCTGGGATGACTTTGCAGTCTATTACATCTTTTAATCTTCTGCGAGCGATTAGCATGTAATCTCTGTTTTTTCCTTGTACCACTTTCATATGTTATTAGATGACTGTCTTTTTTCCTATAGTAGGTGTTGGTTAAGGCAAGATCGAAGGCTTGCGCAAATTTCGGTACATGCTCTCCTTCATCATTTCTTTCTCCATATCCAAAACCACCATTATGCCTTTTGTAGCTATCTCTTGCTTTCCCCACATGCGCATTTAAGTCACCACCAATTATGACTGGATCATCCTTAGGGATTTCCATTACAGCTTCATCAAGGATAGCTCTAAGGTCATCTTTCTCTTCTTCCTTGCAACCCGTTTGAGGAGCATATACTGAAAGGATGTGTAGTATTGATTGTTCAATGCAGAGTTTTATCTTCATTAGTCTATCAGAGATCCTGTTGACTTCTACTACTGAGGAGGTTAGATCTTGACTGAGGATGATGCCCACACCGTTCCTATTGCTAACAATTTATACCCATCTCTAATCATCAAAGTTTTTTGTCCCTTCCATTTCGTCTCTTGTAAGCACGCTATATCAACTTTTCTCTTGTTCAGCATTGATGCCAATTCTCTCGTCTTACCTTTAAGCGTCCCAATATTCAAACTTGCTAATCTTGTCTTCTTTACTTTACTTTTCACAGGATGGAGGTCTACACCCTGCACGTCGCTTGGAGGGAACGCCCTAGCTTTCATATTCATATTTCCATTTGTTTCCTTCATTTTTGTTTATTAGACAGGTATCCTTAGCACCCGGCTGTCCAGGCCTGTCGGTGACGGGGTGTCATCTCTAAGCTCCGATATTCATCATACCTTACGTCTTTACACATCAGTTATCGAAGAAAAACTTGAAAGTTTTTATGCTCCTTACCAGGATTGAACCTGAGTCCTTGTTCGTACTTCTGTTTCCAAGCATACATCTAGCCCATTAGGCCACCCAAATTATAATTATGATGATAATTATTTTTATGGCGATACTAATTAAAATAAATTTTTTAAAAAATGATGTTTCTATTATTTTAACTAATTTTAATAAGTCTATATTTTTCTGGTCTCCGAACCCTGAACCCGAACCGGGTTCAAAGATTTATCACTGAACCCGAACCCATTTTTTAGAAGGAGGAATCTCGTCCCTGTTTTAAACTAAGAACAGGGGTGGAATGGCACCCTGTCATTGACTATATCAATTTTTCAGATGAGAGAATATAAAATTGAAAAAGTCTAATTCAATATATTTATATAATTGTGCCTTTTTTAATTTTTATTCCAAAAAAAAATATTTTGGGACTATAGGTTATAGAGGAAACATGTATTATCAAGCCCCTTTCGGCGGACCTAAACCTCCTCAATACTTTTACCCCGATCAAGGATTTTATTACAGTAAAATATATTTTATATATTTTTGTGAATTTATTGGATTTTAAACCAGAACAATTTGAAATTCAGAGACACATTATCTTTTGAGCAGGAACCTTACACCATTTCTAGGAATTAATCTTTCAACCTAACTAAATCCATCCCTCTTTAATAATATAATTAAATATTAAGGTTTATATTCCTAAATTTAAAGCATTTGATCTTATACAACAGATCCTGAAATTTTAAGTAATTAACCTCACCACTTGGGAAAAATACTCGTTCAAGGATTAGCAGATTTTTCTTTAGTACGCACCTCTAAATTGAGCTTAATTAAGTAACTAGGAAGCAAAAATTATTTTGGGATGTAAATTCCTGCGTGTTGCCTTCAAAATGTTTTCTCACTTGAAACGCTGATGATTAATAGGACTTTTATAATTTATCTTCAAATCTAAATTTCGAACAATTATTAATGAAAATATTTTATGAATTTTATATTGGTTCTATTAGTTTCAACATATAAACGAATTTATAACCAGAATAAATTTTATAATTATATACCAAAAATATGCAAAATAGACCAAAACCCTAACACGTGTGCCCCACCTCCTAGTTATCAAGAGTTATATAGGAACCAACAGGAGGACCAAATGCGTAACGCACCCAATCCTAATGCTTTTCCATCTTTTCCAAACCCTAGCGTGGCCATACCAATGCCTCCTCCTTCTAACACAACTACCAATGCAAACGCTAACATAAACAAATAAAAAAATTAACTTTTTTTTTACAAAATCGAACAATTTCTCCTTAAAAGACACTTAAATTAAGAAAATAAAATAATCAAAATAACAATGAAAGTCATCTGTTTTTTGAGATATTTTTGGTTCAAAAGTGGGGGCATAAACATCCTATATTTATTCCTTTTGCAAATCATAATATCAACTTTATCTATCGAAATATTTCGAAGTTTTTTATTTTATAAGCAATTAGCAAACAACTAAAAATAATAATTCTATTTATCACCTTTTTAAAATAGTTTTGTTCGTTGTTTTATACTTTAATCGCATATTGACTTTAAGTAGCCATTAAAAAATGCTTTATTTAAAAAAATAATTGAATGGGGAACATAAAATGGTTTTTTTAAAATTAATTTTATTTGTCTAAAGAAGTTGATTTAATATAAAACACTATTTTATATATTATAATATATAGATAACAATACTCTCCCTTCACTTTTATTTGTCCCTTTTTTCAAATTTATTTGGAATAAAAATTTGTATATAAATTCGCGATTTATCACTAAAAAAATAATATTTAATGACTTAAAATTTTTAATATAATGTATTCTCTTTAGTCTGTGATTTACTTATTTATAACAAATAATAACGGGTAAGTAGGATGCACAGTCTTACATTTACCGGAGAATGTAATAATGATGCTATTATTTTACATTAAAATGAGGGGAAAAAATAAATAAATATTTATTATAATTTTCTCAGACACGAGATTAATATAAATTCGTAGTTTGTTGTAAGCATCTTTTTTGGGAGGGGCGGGGGATTTGAAATTATTTTAAAATTGTAAAAAAAGGAAATATTTCCTATTTTTGGGTAATTATAAACAATATCAAAATTTAGTACATATAAAAATATAATAAAAACGTATTTCAAAGTTAAATTTTAGAGCTGTGCCGAGGATATTCGTGCTAAATCTATCGCTTACCAATACCGCTTAAGGGATTTGAGTGAATATCCGAAAATGTAAATATCGGGTAGTGAAAAATTTAACAATGATCTGAGGAGCAATACTTAGTATTTAATATATTCTTACTGGCATCTCGAATTACAATGTTAATTCGCTATAAAAGAAAGATTATTGTTTAAAAAATAAACTAGAATAAGAATTTATAAGAAGTTGTTTGAAGTTTTTCTTGACTCAATTGGTAAGTTAGAAAAAGGGCTCCGCTAGCAGGAAATGTTCTGAGCAAGGTAGGCCCTAAGCCTTTGTATAGACCTCTGAAGCCTAGTGTGGCATGGGAATAATATAAATATTTCGGGATTATCAAAAAATAATACTGTAATTATAATTTTATGTGAAATTAACATTTTAAATATTACAAATTGAATACTAAATAACGAAACATCGAATAATATTTATTAACATGATTATACCTTGTTGTTTGATTATCACCTTGAGCACTGGTAAAAATTTGTTATTATCTTTAAGGACTTGCATCCTACTTTTTATCACGTCGAAAGGAAAGACCGCCAGCCATAAGCAGACACCGCCTATCCCTCCACTAAATATAGTTCCCAGTACTCCTTGAGTAATTTATAGTTTAAATATGTAATAATATAAGTGGGAAAAAAATTTATAAGCGATTTTGATTAAACATAAAAAAATTATTCAATTTATCACATTAAATTAAGTTGCCAAAATTCTGATATTTAAACTAGCAACTAGTAGTAGTTAGTTAAAACTTGGAATTGAAATAACTCCAAAAAAAAATTTTTTAAAAGAAAAGCATAAGCTGTTTGGAATTTAAAACGCTATTCAAATTTTTTAAAAAAAAACTTAATTATCAAAAGTACAAGATTTTTTTTTGAAAAATATTATTTTTAATGATATAAATAGAAAATATTCATCATAAATCAATTAAGTATTAATTACCTATGTCATTTTTAGTTTTTCCTGGTGGAATCAATAAACTACGAGTCAATTCGTAGCCTCCAAAAAAGCAAAAATAACCTGGAACCTCCCTCCCAAACGTGGGTCCTAGTCCTTTGAAAAAAGCTGGCAAACCTCCTTCGTTTAAGTATATTTGTTTCGTAATGTACCAAGGACCTACTCTGGCAATATATGAAGTAGAAAATAAGAGACTTGGAGTGATCGGAACCCGACAAAAATTTCGCCAAGTTTCAGAAATTTTTTAAAAGATTGGGTTAAGACATGCCAAACTAGTACAAACGAAAACTTTTAAATTACCAAAACAATTGATCGAATAGAATGAGGTATGTAGGTTTATTTCAAAAAAATTTATAGACTTGCAGAGGTCTAGAGCATTATGGGGCATCGCTAGCTTTTTTCAAAAGGGGATGCTAATTTATTTTTTTAAAAGTGTAGATCTTTTTACTCTAACACCTTTTACCAGGATTTCGGCTGAAACCCCCTTTTGGACGGCTTTAAACCTGGGTTTAGACCAATTGATTTATATCTTCTACTATAGTAAAAGATATATTATACATGAATTCGCTAATTAATATTATCTAACACAAATTTAGAATCTAACTCATGCTTTGTTTACCCTCATAACTAATAATAAATCTTAAGGTACCTCAATCTTAAATTATTTTTTTAGATTTTGCATTTTTATTAGAATTAAAATGAGATTCATTTAAAATAAATATAAACTAATTAAAAAATAAGCCCAAAATTTTTTTATACTGAAAAATGAATGTATATAATAAATTTAAACAACTATCTGTGTATTAGGTTTTGTTTTATTTTGATGATTTGGTTTAAGAGAAAAGGAATGAAATTATAATAACACTGGTTTAATGCCAGTATTTATTTAAAATAACTCTAAAACTTTTGTAGGAAAAGTATTCAAAATAAAATATTAATGTACTTGTTAAAATGGGTGCTAATTTAAAAATTTTTTTAGCGATAATCTAATTTTTAAAATTGGTGCTAATTTTAAAAAATGCTTCAATACCCAAAGCGCTTAGCTAGCAACGTCCCTGCAATTCATAATTTATTAACTAGTTAGTTGATATAATTTAAGCTTATTTTAAAAAAATTCAGCAAGGGTTTTGTAAAAATATATTATCGAACCCGGCATGTGTTTGTAATTTTTTTAAACCTAGTCCAAATGTTTAAAATTATACTTTCACGACCCGGGCTGAGGAAGGGGGGGGGGTCCAGACTATGTAGGCCTCTGAAAAAGATATTACAATAGAGATATGAAAGGGAAGAGGAAAAATTCTAAAGAACTTATAAAAGGGACTGCAAGTATTTTTATACATCAAGGAAAAATAAATTTCAACATTGTAATATCTTGGAAAGTGGAAAATAAAAAAATAAGTTTGTCATGCCTAGGTGTAAAACATTTTCAACTTAGAAAAAAAATAGCCTTCCCATTTTGAATATTGTTCATGATATGGTATGTTAATGGAATTATGAGAATTTATAAAAACTCTAAAAAAATAAAATAAATGAAGGAACGAATATTTAAATTTTTTTATAATATAAGTGTGCTTAATGTCGTTTTGAAAAAGACCTCGTACCCATATCATTTATTCCTACGGTCGGGAGCTGTTTTCTTTAAACTTGTAATTAGCTTTATAAATTTAATTAAAATATCTGAGCTTCTAGTTGTAGGAGGGTGTCAAACTTTATAAAAATGATCAATATTTTAATGATGACTTTCTTCGAAAATTTAAACAATAATCATTTTATATTTTGGATTTATTTTAAAATATTAATCTTCGAAAAAAACTTGAGTTCGGTCTTACGAATGGTATTAAGAGCATTGGGAGATATGTTGATTGATTTATGTTTGGTTAACGCCTGTATATTTTTTTAAAGGTAAAATATATAAATTTTAATAATAATTTTTTTTCCATTTCTTAAATTTTTTTTCACAATTAATATTTGAAAAGAAAATACATCGTTTGAAAGGGCAGTGGGATTATTTTCTTGGTAAGCTTGGATCCGGCATTTGATGAGTTCCGTAGGACAGAGCACAAAAGTAGAAAAAATGGCCGCCATCGCCCCTGCACTGGCGTTCCCAAGTGGCGTAAGGGTAACTGGGGGGCTTGAAAGATTACAATAAAATTTATTAATGCGCTTTAATTTTCTGTTCTAAAAGATGATTTAAATTAACTAGAAAGGGTTGAAAAATCGTAATCAAATAATAGTATTTTATATCTCAAGTAAACGAATAGATTCAAAAAATATATAATAACGTAGATGTCTGACTTGGTCAAACTTAACGAAATTACCACCATTAGGAAACGATATTTCGCAATAGTTGTGGATATATGTAATTTTTAAGCTATTGTCAGGCGAAATCTGGAAAATGCTTAATGTTATTTAAATTGCAATAATACTTTTTAAAAATATGTGAAAAAAAATATATAAGCTTAGTTAACAGCATAAATATTTAAAAAATCTTTTATCAATTATAATTTTAATATCAAAAGAAAACTTGCTATAAGATTTCCGTACCATTAAGATATAAATATAATTTTGAAAGGATAAAGCATTTTAAAGATTCACTATCGCCATTATGTGCTGCACCATTTTTATTATTAGGTAAAACATTTTTATCTAATTCATTCCCATTATTTTTATCCTTAATAATCTTGTTTGGGAAAACATAGTTAAATTATGTAATAAATAAATACATTCAATTATTGAAATTATATAATTATTTATTTATCTAGTTTGATCACGGTCATTATAAAATGACAAAAAAATAATTTAGAAATATAATAAATGACTTTAGAAAATGATCAATTTATTTAATTAGTTTTTTTGTTTGAAATCAAATAATTCTATTCTCTCTTTCAAATCACAAAATATTTCTTAAAAATTTTTTATAAGCTTTAATTTTTGCTTATAATAACATACATTTTAACCCACATAATTATTTATAAATTTATTTTTTCTGTATAACATATTATATTAATTAACCAATATTTATAATTATAAGTAAGGAGAAATAAAAACAAAATTCGCATCACTATTCACCAATAAAGTTTAGTTTAAAAAAACACTAGCTAATATTTTAAATAAAATTCTGCACTTATAAGAATTTACAAATATGTCCTGTATAATAGCGTAGTTGACAACTACTTTATAAAACGAAGATAAGCAACAGGTGAATTACAAAATAATAGCTAAGTAAATATCTAAGCTAAAAATAACATATTTTTTAAAGCATATTTTATTTGTTTCAGGTCAGTATAAAAATTTTCAGCAATCACATCGGTCCGAGTCGGCTAAGCTTGATAACACCAATAGTTTTTTTTAGCGAGAATCGGTTTTCCAAACCATTTTTAAATTAAAAATGTGGTTTTACTAGGTTATGTAAATATAGATTTATAGAGTGATACCATTTCCCTGACAGCTCTATCGGTTGATTAATTAAATTCGACTCAACATTAATCAAATAAATTATTTGTCCGAAACGAATATCGATTTGGATAAAATAACGGTTCAAGTTCGGTTCGAGTCTATAAAATCCGGTTTGAAAACATTTGTATACAAAAATATTTTATTTGGTTTGTCATTCATAATACTATATGTAAATAATTTATCTATTGGATTCGATTTATTTCTAGGCATTATAAGTTAGATAATTTTGTCAAATAGCAATAAACAAAAGTTTATAAAAACTGTGGTTAGCCATTTTTAAAAATAGGCTCAAAACGAACCGTTTATCAACACTATACACAAGACTTAAGATTTTTAAAATATTAATTTTAAATTGGCGATATCAATCACAATTGATTTATAATAATTGTTAAAACAATTCGGATAAAAATTAGAAATTTAGAAGTAAACTAGTAATAACGTTCACATTGTTTTATAAGCACAAAATCATGGGGCTCGTACTGGTTCAGAAGCATTTTAACGGTTAGTTCAGGTAAGGTTATAAAATCATCTAACAGTTCAGTTTAAGTTTTCAGGCTTGATACCGGTTTAAAGGTTCGATTTGGATCCCTGCTTGTAATATATAAAATATTTTAAATTTTGTTTCAAAATCTTAGAGAAAAAAAATTTTTTTTTTTTTTTTACCAAATTAGAATTTAATAACTCGAAATATAATATCTTATAAAAATGCGTTTATCTTATATCTTTTCGGCATGAGAGATTTACAATTAAATAAACATATAGATTAAGTAGGGTTGTTAAAAAGTTCGAATCAGGTCAATTAACGACCAGATTAAGATTTTCGCAAAAATAATATCATGTAAGCCTGGAGATTTTGCTCATAGGCAGTAAGACTTGGACCTCTATTTGCCAAATCTCGAGGCTTAAATAATATTATTTTGGCCAAAACCTAATCGGGTCATTGTAAAAAATTTGCCAAAATCGGGCTAATTTAACAACCCTAAGTAAGGCTTTAACTAAAACCTAAAGAATTTGAGTATTTTAAAAAATAAATCAAAACAAAGTCAATAAATTAATTACAAAATTTAATCATTTTGATTTGTATATTTTGAGAAAAAAAAATGATTCGGAAATATAATTCATGATTCATGAAACAGGGGATTGATTTGATGGTATTAAGGGACGGGTTATTGGAGGTAATAAGTAATAATCAGTTAGTACTGCGAATACCTACAACTAAGATACAAGATTCTTTTGCATCTGGTACTCTACATCCTTTTTGACATTTTTAATTAAATACTCATATTTGTATCTAAGATATACTTTTTTAAAATATTTTTTGTTTAAAAGAATCAAAATTAACATTTTTCTAGTGGATTCTTGCATTAATTTTGTTTTCATCTTACTTTATATTTTAAATTAATATTTATTATTTTTTTATATTTTAGCATACCTCATATGCAAATTAGGTTAAAATTTTAGGATTTTTTAAAATCCATATCAATATTAACAAAGTTTTGGATTGGCATTAGAACACTGCATACTTAGTATAGAATTTGGGTAATTTCGATTTGATTTGTTGATCATATTCTTTCCTTAGCTTACCTCAACTTCAGCGATGATCACCAATATAAATCCCTCCTAAGATCACTTAATTTCAACAACTCTGGCCATGAATGGTTAGATTCATATACCAGCATTTTAAATAACCAGCTAATAGATAACGACGCTTTTCGTTATGCAATCAATTTATGCTTGGGCGTACCTTTCCTAAACCATTATATTTGCATTAAATGCAATCAATCGGCAGACGCGTATGGGGGACACGCTCTCCACTGCAAATTTATATCAAAAATCAGCCGACATGATAAAATAAATACAATAACAGCTTCTTTTTTAAATAAAGCCAATCTTCCCTGTATTTTAGAACCGATATCTTATTTAGATAAAAAACGCCCTGACAGCAAAACAATTGCACCTTTTTTAATGGGAAAGCCTTTAATGTGGGAGTTTACTGCATTGATACCATGGCCCCATCTAATAATTCTCATGATCTCTTTAACAGAGCCGAATCTCTAAAAAATATAAAATACTCACACCTAATATGTGACAACCACTTTGTTCCCATAGCAGCTAAGTCAACTTGCTCTTTTGGACAAGCGGCATTGGATCTCTTTAAAATAATATCCAAATCAATAAAAAATCATACCTTTCTCCATTTTATAAACTCAAGCAGAAAATCGCCGTATCTATAATTAGATCTAATTATCAAATATTTAAATTTCATGGCCCGACCTCGCCACTTGATATTTTTTTTTTAAATGTTTTTCTTTTTATAAAAATATACATTTGTATGAATCTTTTTTTATAACTTAAACTTACATATGACATATTTTATTATATTCTTTATATTATAATGTTATTTTTTGAATAATAATATTTTATCATATCTGTATATAATTTTAATAAAAAATTAAATATTTTTTTAAAAAAAGATGTCTCTTTTATTTTTTATATTTTTATGTGATGTCGTAAGAATATTTTATTTCGAGATCTGCAAAGCCGGGCCCATCGAAAATCACAGTCCGCGGGCCGGATCAATTTTTTAAAAATAAAATGGGCCGGGGTCTTATATAAAAAAAATTCGGTCCAGGCCAGACAATTTATTTTGAAAAAACCAAGCAGGACCTCGCAAATCTCTGATTTAATACCATTTGAAGATAAATAACAGTAAGCTAATTTCCTTGATTTTAAGAGCTGTCTGACGAAAATATTAAATCTATAAAAAACATAATAAATCCACAAAAAAATTAAACAAGTGATTTATTATAAGTATTCAATTATAACATAAGGCAAACATCAAGCAATTTATTTATAAAACCATTATTATAGAAATAGTTCCACAATAGAGGAGAGCTATAAGAGCCTTAATCGACATTGGGATTGAATTTCAAAAAGATCACAACGAGCTGGGCAACTTGTTCAAGAATCTTTATTGGTAGGGCTTTGCAGATCTCTAATTATTATTAAAATCGTCGAAATATCTTATGTTTGTTTGCTACTGTTTTTGATAATTTAAATTTTTGAGATAGTTCACAGGGAGGAATAAACAATTGAAATTGATGTCAATTTGAATTTAACTTTCAGCTCGCTGAAAGTGTCAATATATATACATGGATTTCTCTAGGTCTCCATGTCATCTCTTATTGTAGGATAATCATACCCAATTCCGTGAACCGCAAAATAATATTGTGCAGAACTAGGGATAAAACAAGCTTAAAACATTTTAACCCCCCCCCTCCCCACCCCAAATAAAGCATTGCTTTATTTTTGATTTTCTATAACCATTCTTTATGAAATTTAAAAAAACTTATTAATCTACTTTAAAAATATTTTCCCCCTTGCTTGGTCTTAATTTTATTTAAATGCAACCTGTTTAAAATCTTTTATAAAAGATCTGCAATTTATAAAAAGAATTTTGTTTCTGTTTTTCTGAGCCGCAGTTTATGGTGTTGCATTTTAAGACAGAGGTTATTCCCTTTTTATAGTGTTATTAGAAACTTTGATTCAGACAATTAAAGGGCTAATTCTAGATTTTATTCAAACCAATTATTACCTAAATTTAGAGATTTCCTCAAAAAAAACGAAACCTCCGTAATCTTTTGACAAAATCTTAAGATTTGGGGAATATATTTTTTGTTAAATTTTTATAACCATTTTTAAAGAATCAGCTCATGGTTTTTAATAAGATTATTACCCTCTGTTTCATAAGAATCTAGAGGTGCTATGGAAATAAATATAACTTTTAGAGGCCTATTTGATCTGACTTAGCCAATACCAGCCATTCCATTTTTTAATAATAGCAATATGGGAAAAGGTTATATAGGAATTACAAATAAAATAAACAAAATATACCAAAAAAACAAATATTAAAGTAAATGGACTAAGAATGTAGATGCCATATTTCTTAAAAAAATCAATAATTAAATATTTGGTATGTTATATATTAGATCTCCAATAACAAATATTATTAAAAATACTGGTATAATATTCAAAATTCAATGTTTCTATCATCCCCATTTTCTGGTCAATTTATTTCTAAAAGATTTAATATTAAATGCCATGTGCTCCCTTGGTAAAATCGATGGCAGGCATTCAACAAAAAAATAATTACTGCTAGATCCCATTAAAGCAATTTATATTTTTTAAAAAAAAGATATATATTACCTTTATTTTAATAAGCAAATTAAAATAGTGATAGTGATATTTATTTATAAAAATATTAACCTTTTTAAAAATATTTCCTTCTCTTTATCTATTCTTGGCATCACAAAATAAGGTTTTGTTGAGTGTAAATGTAGGGAAGGATGATTGTATATGTTATAGACTACTTTTTGACACAATCCATATGCTGAAAAGAGAACAGAATTCTCAGCAACATTTGCTAACAGGGCAGGTGCAGTTCCAGCATATAGCCCTTTAATTCCTTGATTTTTTAAAGTTTTTCTGAAACAATCTAAACTGCCAGTTTTATAAATGTCTGAAAATGTTTGCATTTTGACCTTAACAGTGTCAAGTGGCTGTCCAACATAAACACTAGCAACAGCTCCTAAAAATATAGTTAATTGTATTTAAGATATTAATTTGAACAGATTTTGGAACCTAGAGTAAAATGTGTTTTGGCTCCTAAATCTTTTAAATGAGGTTATTAATTTTGGCACTGTTTCGAGAGTTACAGTTCTAAATTTTGTTTAAATAATCAAAAGATTTACATTTTTGTTAGAACTAGTTCCTGGAAATTTTAACATAGGTTCTATTACTTATATAAAGTTAAAAAGAGGGTTCCAGGTTCCATACTCTGTTTAAAAAAGTTTTCATACATTAAAATCTTAAGAATATATTTCAAATAAATCTAAGAATTAAAAAAAATTTAACCTAAAGATCCAGATACAAAGTCAATCGTTGCATCAAGTAAATGAGGCAATTGATGTATTGGCTTAAGATCAGAATTAGACATTCTACTAGTTGATAAAATAACCTATAATTAAATTTAGAGATTCAGAATTTAATATAGGATGACACTTAAATTAAATATTGTATCTAAATATCTTAAATGAAAATTATGCAAAGATATTTTTTTTAAAAAATTGCATTAATTTTAAAAATTGGGTTAGATAGAAATTTATCTCTGAATGATGATAGTTGATTACTTATCAATCACCTTTCAAAAATTATCAGGGTTAAGAATATAATATGTAAACATTAGAAAACCAAAAACTATTATTAAATTGTGATAGCCAGCTAATTGTAATCTTCAATATAGCTAATGTTTTTCGGTTGTAGATTCACAATGATGTTTTGAATGATGAAGTATTATATAATAACCATAAAATTTACGAAGACACACAATGAAGATTATTCTTGAATACAATAAGTTTATTGGTATAAATTTTAATGATTAAAATAATAATCTAACATAAAAAAACGCTTCTTATATATAAAATAAATAATAACATTAATATCTTAGATTGATTTTGATCATAAAATAAAATAATTTCAATTTAGAATGACCTTTTGAAGAATAAAACATAAATACTTTTAACAATTATTTTGTATATAAAATATATTTAATACTTTAAAACTAAGAGTTTAAGAAAAGAAAAAAAAAGTTTTGAATTCTTATGACAACTTATTCTAAAGAAAAATATAAAAGTTAGAATATTTATTTTTTGAATAAGTGATTAAAAACGAAAATATATTTTTGATAAAACAAAATATTTACGTGATACGTGATAAAAGCGTTTTCGCCCTCTGGTTGTGGATACAACAGAGCTACGCTAGGTTTTCCTCAAAAATCCATCAAACTGGATAGTTAATTAAGGGGAGAAAAAATGAGGAGCCCTTCACAAGTTTGTGGGCAAGCCTAACGTACTTGTACGCGCAACAGTCCGAGAACTGTTGCTTAAACGTCTATAAGCTAATTATACTAATTAAGTTTATTTGACTGGCAATCACTTCATGAAATATATTAATATGATTGATTTGTATCTATGACATTTATATCTATGACATTTATATCATTGATAATATATATATATGACATTTATAACATTGATAATATATAATATAAATCTCATTTATAGCATATCCCCACACATATGATCTTACAATTCCTCAATAAGCCGATTTGTAGGTTTCCTGGCTCTTTGTGATTTCCGCGTTTCTAGTTTTCCGTTATCTTCCACATTTTCTAAAATCTCAACTATATCCGACTCTTTATTTTTTATATTTTCCTCTTCTCTCTCTGACTCCATATTTTCTCCATTATCTTTCCCTGGCCTCCATTTCTTTAGCTACCTCCCTTTTTCGAAGTTGATCCGTATGCTTTCGTACCATTCTATCCTTGCTTTCTACCAAATAAGAATATCTGCCAGTTCTGGATTTTATAATTCCTTCTCTCCAACCTGAATTTATTTCATTATGCACCCATACTGGTTGTGCAATCTCAAATTCTCTCATATGACTATGTTCATCATGCGCTACTTTTTGTCTTATATTCGATCGTTCCATTTCATAACTAACATTAGGACGTAACCAATTCAATCCCGTTTTTAAATTTCGCCCCAATAATAACTTAGCCGGTGAACGTCCAGTTGATTGATGCTCACCCATTCTATATGCTAGCAAAACTTCTCCCATGGCTTCCCCGGGCTCCCTGATGTCTTTCCTAGTTGCAAAATATCGACTCTTGAGGGTTCGTATCGTTCTTTCCGCTAAACCGTTCGTTTTTGGATGGTACGGTGTTGTATGTATCAATTTAATATTTTTCTCGGAACAAAATTTTCGAAATTCTCCAGAAATAAATTGAGGTCCATTATCTGATACGATTTGTCTAGGTGTTCCAAACCGTGCGAACCATTTCCTTAAAACCCTGATCATTGTCGTGGACGTGGTCTCTCTCATTAACTCAACCTCAGCCCATTTAGTATGTGCATCAACTCCAACTAACCATGAATACGAATCAATAGGCCCCGCGAAATCCAAATGAATTCGTTCCCATGGTATATTAGATATGTTCCACGAATATAAAGGAACCTCCATAATATTCGACCGATTACTTTGACAAGGAATACATTGACGAACATATTGTTCAATATCTTTATCGCAATTCGGCCACCAGCAATACATTCTAAAAATTGATTTCATAGCATTTATTCCTGGATGCCCTCTGTGTATAATCGTTAAAATTGATTTCCTCAAAATAGTTGGAATTACCAACCTCCCATTCCATTCAGTAACATCATGATCTACTGACAATTCCTCTCTACGATTATAAAAACAAACTAACTCTGTATTTTTTTCCGCATCAAAATCCACCCATCCATGCTCAATGTTTTCAACTACTTTTTTAAACAAGCTATCATTCCTTGTTTCCTTTTGGTGTTCAACTTGACTAATATTTATATCGTGCAAATTTATAGCTCTAATTTTTAACGCGTTTTTTTGATCATTATTTGATTTTATGCCATCTATTGGCAGTCTAGATAATGTATCAGCTACTTTATTATCTTTTCCAGGAACATATTCAATATCAAAATCATATGCGGACATTTTCCAAGCCCAGCGCGTTAATCGACTATTGGATATTTTTGGTAGTTCCCGTTTATCACCAAATAATTTTTCCAAAGGTTTGTGATCTGTTCGTAATAAAAATTTTCGACCAAAAATGAATGAAATTTTTCCATACCAAACAAAAGTGCTCGTGCCTCTTTTTCTATTGGTGCATAATTTTTCTCTGACTCTAGAAGTGTTCTCGAGGCAAATGCGATTGGTCTGCTAATATCTTTTTTCACTAAATGACATAACACAGCTCCAAAACTTGGAAGCGTCACATTCCAATATAATTGGCAAGTTTGGCGAATATGGAATTAGCGTTTTATTTGTTGACAAAAGCTGTTTTATTTTATCAAATACCTCTTGTTCCTTGTCCGACCAACCCCAGCAAGATTTAATGCTTGTTAATTTATGCAGAGGAGCGGCAATTCCATGTAGATGTGGCAAAAATCTCTCGTGATAATTCACAAGTCCTAAAAAAGATCGTAATTGGTGTATATTATTAGGAGTTGGTATCCTTCGAATAGCATCTATTTTTTCTTTCGCTGAATATATTCCATATTTGTCTATTACGAAACCCAAAAAAGAAACTGATTCATTTAAAAAACGTATTTTGGCCCATTTTGCCTTCATACCCACCTGTTTTAGTTTCATTAGTACTTTTTTTACGTTATTCAAATGTTCTACATCATTTTTCCCCGTTATGATAATATCGTCAAGATATACTCCAGTCATTTGGCAGTCTTGTAATAAATTGTCCATATATCTTTGAAATATGGTCGGCGCACTAGAAAGACCGAAAGGCATACATTGATATTGGAAATAACCAATGTGGGTCGATATGGTTAAGTATTCTTTTGATTTCTTTTATTGGTAATTGTAAATATGCATCTTTCAAATCTATTACCGTAAATTTCAATCCATCTTTTAATTTGGTTAAAAGATCATCCACCGTTGGTATAATATGATAATCGTACAAAATATATGGGTTTAATGTCACCTTAAAATCCGCACAAATCCTGATTTCTCCATTTGTTTTTCGTACGTTTACCGTTGGAGTGGCACATGTCAATCGTTTTTGTGTTGGATCAATCGCCTTCAATATTCCTGATTTAACCAATCTATCGAGTTCCATTTCAATTGGTTTTCGTAATGGATACTCTACGAGCTGGCCATGATTTCGGCCTTGCTGCCTCACTCAAATGTATGCTAACTTCTATATCATTCACCCGTCCAGCCTTGTCATCAAAAACACTAATAAATTCTGTTGTCATGCCAGCAATTTGTTTATTGGTTGTCATAACCTCTTTATTTGTGATACTACGTATAGTCACTTGTCGTGGAATAAACATATTAAATGCCAGTATCCATGGTAGTCCAAATAATGGAATGTCATTTGAACCGGTCACCACAATCGGTAGTGATCTGCGTATCTTTCCAAGACGAACCCTCACCATAGTTTCACCCAGCACATCTAGCGGTTGGTTACCATATACTGATAAAGGTTTGGTTGGTCCAAGTTTGGGTCGGCCAATTTCATCCCTATATTGTTTCCCAATCACCGATACCTGTGCCCCCGTATCATAGTCAAATTCTATAGGTACTCCATTAATCCAAACAAATATCTTTGCACTATTTCTACCAATTTGGGATATATTATTAATTGAATCTGATGAATCATTGTCATCTATATGCATAGCATGTAACTTCTGTTCCTTGCAATATTTAGCATAATGCCCTACCTTTTGGCAATTATAACCAGCGTCTACATGGCAGAAAATTTGATGGAGGCAAACCCCTCCAAAATCTACCCATACCCACCTAAAAAAAATCCTGCGGCCTTCGGCCGCGAAATTTACAGACCTACGATGGTATAGTGATTTTATTTAAAAAATCTTATCTGCCACCATTTATAACCTTACAACATAATTCTATTTACAATCTTTCAAGCCTATTTAGGGAAAAAAAATTTAAAAATTTGTAAGTGATAATGAACTTTTATTTAAATAATGCAATCTTTTCATAATTTGGTATTCACTTTATTTTCATAAAATATATATAAGTGAATTAAATGAGATAACATATTAATATTTCTATGAAAAAGATCTAAAATATTGTAAAAAATATAAGACGAATAAATTTAAAGAGGTATATTTAGCTTGATTCCACATAATTAAAAACATGTATTGTAAATAGAGCTATTATATAAAATATTAGAATAAAATGAATTATAGTATATTTTGCATTGAAATTATAAAATGTTAAATTAAATATACATTATTTAAAAGCCTATATATTCGCTGTGAAAAAGATACATTAATTATTTTATTAATAATTTGGATAACCTTATTGATGTTAAAGCAAATTGTGTTATAATATCATCAATTGTAAATTTTTCAAAAACATCAATTTCGCTGGATATTAACAGTAAATTTTCCAAAAATGGGTCCGAAATTTTATTCCGCATTCGAGTTTTGTTAATTTTTACTTTACTCATGGCTCTTTCGGCTGAACAGGAAGTTGTAGGAAGGGTTAATAAATATTTATATAATAAATTTAAATTTGAATAAGAATTTAATTGATTTAAAAGTCGGTATGGTAATATAATAGAAAATTTTATCCATTTTTTTATTTTGGTCATGATTTCGCTGTTGATATTTTCTTTGGTAATTTGATCGTTTGCAATACCTTTAATTATATACAATTACAAATAAAATATCAATAAATTACTTTCATCAATATATAACGCGTCATTCTTTTTAACTTTTAAAAGATCTTCGCAAAAAATGATTGATTGAGACTCCAAATATAAAGAGCGAAAATCATTATAATAATCAACAATGTTTTGGACATCCAATTGATAAGTATTACAAATTTCGGATATTTGCCATCCTTCTATTTTTTCATTATCCATAATTCCAGCGGGAGTAAAAATGGATATCTGTGATAAAAAATTTAAACAATCATAATTAAATCGATCATTTAGGTGATTAATTATTGCATTTAGAATAGGGAAAAATATTTCCGTTCTATATTTATAATAAAAAATAATAATTTAAATTTTTTTAATTTATTCAACTTGTTTTTTTTTGTTCAACATAATTATTGAATTCTGTTTGATCCAATTTGAATATTGATTTCATATTATACAAATCAGTTATTACATTATTCTTTTTCAAAAAAACTATTAGATAAGGAATGTAATTTTAAAAATATATTGTCTCCATTAGCTATATTTTAAAATTATTTATAGAAATAATAACTAATATTAACCTTTTAGTTTTTGTAATTTATTTTTTGTATGTTGTATTAATTTGGTTACCAAAGCCAAATCATTACCAACTGCCTGCATTTCAATACAAACCTCATGTGTACATTTCAATATTTCTTTCAAAATAAAAAGACTTAATATAAAATTTTCATCTTTAATTCTTGATAATAACCCATCGGCAATGGAAGAGGTGCTTGGGTCATTAGAATCTTTTAATTCAACTAATGATGCTAAAATATGTTCATAAACATCTAAGAAGATTTCTACAGATTTGTAGGATGATGACCAATTTCTGAAAATATATAAGTTTCAAGTTTCATTAAAAATATTTTATTTACCTTGTTGTGTTTTTAATTCTTTTAAGAGATTTCTTGGACTTTCTCATTTGATATTTAACAAACACACCTTGACGTCTAACTCCATTCATAAAATTATATAACTCATCTAATATTCCCATTGCCTTTTTCATTTCAATTTTGCATCCACAAACATGAGCAACTACTAAATTTAGCCGATGTGCATGGCACCAAATATAGATGGCTTTTGGAGCCTCTTTCAATATTAAAGCCTGCATTCCTTTGTATACTCCTCTCATATTCCCTGCACCATCCATACTTTGTCCAACCAAATAATCAAGAGGAAGACCAAGATCATTAAACTTAGAAAAAACATGTTTCTTTATATTTTCCCCAGTAGTTTCTGATGTTGTAAAAACATGTATGATCCTTTCTACAGGATGTGGATGCAGATCATCTTCTATATACCGTACAAGCAAAGCTATGCATTCTTTTTTAGACACATCATATGTTCCATCTAATATGATGCTATAGGCACGATTCTCTTTAATTGTTTGAATAATGCTTTTTGTTATTTTTATCTTAATAATTTCAGTTATTTTTTTCACGTGGCCATATGACAGTAAATTTATATAAGGTCTCGAAATTTTATCTGATTTTTTTCTCCGCAATTTTTCGTTGTTATCCATGTATGCACGTAAAGTTGGAACCGTTTTTGCCATTAATTTTATGAGACACATAAAATTACCTTCATTCGAATTAGAACCCCAAAAGGCTATATTACATTTTATAAGGTACATAATGGCATTGATAATATTATGAACTATATTACGATTTTCCATGATTATATCAAGCTTATTTGATAGCAAATGATCTTGAATGCGTTTATTTGCAAGCCAAGTCATGTTTGCATATTCACAATCTTTATGAAGAGAAGATGCTTCGTGTCTCTCTAAGTCACGCTTTATGTTTTTCCAATTATTTACCCCATGTTGAGTCCAAAAAGTATTGGACTTAGGGCCACCAAACATAATACAATATAGACAAAAGACTTTGTCTAAAGTAGTGCTATAAGATAGCCAATTTCTGGGGTTGAGGGAACCATCTATATTAACCTTTCTATAATAGGTTATATTCATGCTCCTGTTTAAAAAGTAAAAAAAAATATATTGGTATAGAAATAATGGATGGGTAAAAATTAATAAAAATAAATATTATTTAAAACCTCTTGTTAGTAACAGGATATTGAAATTTATTTGTACATGGCTGACAAGGGCCTACAGCAATTATGAAATTTATCAAAATATTTGTCATCCTAAATAATATTAAGTGAAAAGGGTCATTTGGTTCCTTTTTTTTGTATAGCTGAATAAGACTTGGACTTTGAATATCCTCATAATTTATTCCCTTCAAAAGTCATTATATAAATTTTATTTAAATATAATGCCTCATGCAAAGTAAGTGCCTCACTAGAACCGGGGATTGGATGAGGAGATAATACAATTTGTGAATCTTCAATATTGGAGATTTGCTATAAATAAAGAGTATAATTTGTTTACTTATGAAAATCTATTTTTAATATAATTTCAGCCAAATGGTCATTTTATTCTTAGCTACATTATAATTAAGTTAATCAATAAATGTTGGAAATATTTAAATGTCCTAATTTATTTTCTTCAAAAGTTATCTTATAATTCGTATTTAAATTAAATACCTCATTATGCAAAGTAAGCGCCTCACTGGAACTGGGGATTGGATGAGAAGATAATACAATTCAATATTGGAGATTTGCTATAAAGAGTATAATTTGTTTACTTATGAAAAACTATATTTTTAATAAAATTTTAGTCAAATGGTCATTTTATTCTTAACTACATTATAATTAAGTTTTTAATAAAGGTTGGAAATATTTAATTAACCTCATAATCATAATTTATTTCTTTCAAAAGTTATCATATAATTCGTATTTAAATTAAATACCTCATCATACAAAGTAAACACCTCACTGGAACTGGGGATTGGATGAGGAGATAATACAATTTGTGAATCTTCAATAACTGAGATTTTCTATAAATAAAGAGGAGTTTAATTTCTTTCCTTATGATAACTATATTTTTAATAAATTTTTAGGCAAATGATAATTTTTTTTAACTACATTATAATTAAGTTTTTAATAAATGTTTTAATTCTACATGAATACATGATTGAGAAAACAGGTATTAAAAATATTATGAAGTCCAACACAAAGTTATCAAGTTACAATGGAAAGATGATACAAGTAATAGGTAAAGCACAAGTGAATGTAGAATACAAAGGGAATTCACATATTTTGAACGCATTAATCATAAACATCAATATGACTTTGTTAGATCATGTAAAAACATTTTTAAAATATACTTGAAAGATTCATAGGCCTGATAGATGCAGATTAATATAAAACTGCGATCACATGAAGAAATCATAAAACAAGATTATAATGACTATAAAAATAAAAACAATATTAAGTATAAATAAAATTGTGAAATTCATGATGAAAGTATATTATCTAAAGAAATTCTAATAGCTAAATAAAACAAATAATAAACATACCTAATATAACACATAATGTAAATAAAGGGGATGAAACTCACACAGATAACATTTTGAAAATAGTTGATTCCAAATCATATTTTATAAGATTTATATTTAAAAAAAGTAAAAGAATTTGAAGTCTTAATTCAATTAAAGATGAAAAGATTTAAATTTAAAAATTCCTAGAAATTAACATTACCTTATTTTACTACATTATATTAACTTAATAAGTTTTTTTAATACTTTGGTTTTAAATTATTATTATTAACTTATTAAACATATTGTTAAATTGAACTTTATAAAGTATATATAGATATAAAAATAGTGTGATAAACAGTTAAAAAACATTAAATAATAATATATATAATTTATTTTCTCTATACCCGGACTACTTTAATATTAATATTATTCTGGTAAAATTTTAAATCAGTTTCTATTAATTCACAAATTTATAGTTACAATAATAAATAAAAATATTACTTTTTGGAAGTAAGATGTTATTGTCTTTTTTTGCAACTGGGTTTCAACTCCATTTGTGATATTATATGGAATATCACATTTAAAGATACCCAATTATTATTATCTCTTTTGATGGCTACCTTTGTAAATTTCATATCAGCTGGCTTGACATGAGGATGTTTATGTTTATAATGTTCATGTATCTTGTCACTTCTTATTTTAGAAGTTTTGCAATTTTTAATATTGCACTTAACTTTAAATATGGTTTTGTTACTTGGCATCTAGAAAGAAATAATTATTATAATATAATTTTTTACATATTATGTTTTTTATTATTCTTTGCTTGCTGATATATGTTTTTATGCATGACTCAAAAAATTACCTAAAATTTATCCTGCTAAAATCTATAAATTTATTAAAAAACATAATATAAATATATTAACCTCTAAGAAAAGTACCAAATAGGAAATGTGTAAATATTAACTTGATAAAATGCTAAATGAAAATCGTTGACAAAGAAAATTTATATTATTTATTAATTGACAAATATCTTTACTTTAATTGACATTTTTCAGAAAATCAAACGATAACCATCATAATCGTATCAATTAATGGATTAAAAAAAGATTATAATTCAAATCAAAAATTACCCACCAAAAATCAATACCTACCCCCAAAAAAATAATGCCTACCCCCAAAAAATTAATATCAACCCCTTAAAATCGATACCTACCCCCAAAAATGCTAATATATTTTGGAGGCATTTGTCTCCTACCCCCCCCCCCCCCGGCCATGTAGACGCTGATTATAACATTTCACCCTTGATGCAAAACATTGAAAAGGGGGATGAGTTCTTCCACATTTTGAGCATTTATTAAACTTATACATATCATTATTGTTAAATTTATTGTTATCTCTAAACTTAAAATTATTATTATTGTAATAACTAAAATTACCCTTTTCTTTGTTATTATTATTATATGAGTACTTTTGATTTGAAAAATTTTCTTGATTATTCTCTATCTGCTCCTTAGGTTTATTGACTTTTTTTACCATCATATTTGTCACTTCATCCTCAGCCCTTTCCATTGCCAAAGCCATATTTAAAACCTGTTGAAAACTCACCATTTCTCCTAAGTCATTTATTCCATCTGGAAATCTAGTGCGAATATCTTTCTCCAATGCACTCATTTTGATTCCAGCCACCATCTGATCCCTCAATCTCCCATCTAGGTCAGATTCAAATTTACATTCTTGAGCCAATTTTTTAAGTCGAGCTGCAAACTCCGCAACTGATTCACCAACCCCTCTTTCTATCCGAATAAATTTAATTCTCGAGCTAAATAATGTTGAAATAGGCTTAAAAACTTTCTTACCAACTTCAATAATCTCTTCATAATTAAGATCTTTCAATATTTTTTGATAAACAAAGGACCTCATCTCAGCTAAATTACTAATACCCATATACGCAAATAATATTTTTTTTTTGGTTTCATTATTTATTAATATACCTCTTATCTCCAACATATCATCAATATATTCAATGTAATCAGCAAAGTTGTTTTGATTATCGAAATTATCGAATTTGATCATAATGTTATCATTTTTTTCTTCTTTATTCATAATTACTTTATTTTTGTCTTCTTTATTCATAATAAATCATCGACAACGTCGCCAATATACTAATTAAGTTTATTTGAATGGCAATCACTTCATGAAATATATTAATATGATTGATTTGTATCTATGACATTTATATCATTGATAATATATATATATGACATTTATAACATTGATAATATATAATATAAATCTCATTTATAACACTAATAAACAAAAAGAAATGGTAAAACATAAGCCTATACCCATGAACTGCCAAAATAATTTAATTACTTTAAGGGTGGGTGGTGGCTAATTTTAAGTTTAACATCTAATGTAAGCCTTGATAGTTACTAACAATAATTGAGAATGTGATCATATCAATTGAGATTAAAATTTATTCATGAAAATAAGGAAAAGCTAAATGGGTTTACCGCAAATTGTTTAAATAGGTGAAGATTCCAGTGAATAGGCAAAAACTAGTCTGTAATCGGTTTATGACTATCCAGCAACGAACACCACACAACAAAGGTTTTTTTTTCTTTTTCCAGAGAAACAAAATACTCTATGGAGTGATAGATAGATTATATAGCAAAAAAGGTCTTTGTGATTCAAAAAAAATGGGGTGCAATACATTATCAAACAAAATATTTGATTTATTAACAATTAGCATCTTCCTATTTAGTCTTAAGCACAAACTAATGATATTATTTCCCATACATACACTCATTTTCAAATGCTCAAGTTTTATTCGAGATTGTTGGTTGATGCAAGTTTAATGAAATTTTTTGAGTTACATCCTAATTTTTATATTAGAAAATCTTGCTACATTAACTAAAAATACATCTTTAAAATTTCCAAATCCAGGACATCAATCATACAAATATTTACCAGAATTTAATTATTTAGATAATAAACATATATGTGGTAACATTTACAAATCAAATTTTTTATTTAAACATATTCAAAATCAGAATATATTGGAAATTTTTTTTACCATTTCTAAATCTAATTATATTTTGGAAAATATAACAAAAAATATAGTATGTCCAGCCATACTTCCAAATTACATATCTATAGAAGATATAAGGAGTAAAAAAATTTATGAACGTCATACTCCCATTTTCAATGAAATATTTGCTAGGGGTCGAAGACCATGGGGTGCTTTGAAAATTCGAAGGAGTAAAATGAATAAACATAAACGAGTCAAGAGACTTAGGAAAAATAGAGTTTATTATATGAATCTTTTTGAGAAACAAAAAAAGACAAGAGATGACAATGCAAACAACAAAGTAAATAAAGTTACCAAACATGCTGAAAATTTTGACCCAAGTGAATATGTTCTGAATATTATTAGAGAATCTGAAAAGGCCAAAATTATGTATGAAAATAATATTTTTACTTATAATAATTGCAAAATAGTTGGCGAGAAATATTCTAGATCAAAGAAAAAATCTATATTGAGTAAAGAAGAGTTAGAACCTATTTTAAATTATGATTGGCCTTTTAAAAAATAATTTTGATATTAATAATATTATTTATTGTATAAATAATAACTTTTTTTTGTATATTTATTTGAAATAATAATGTTCATAATTTATTCCCAAATAATATTATTTAAAAAAAAATTTACTCAATGATGAATTATATTTCATTTTAATATAGCTATTCACTCAATTTTCTATATATTTTAAACAACTATATTATATATTTCATTTTAATATAGCTATTCACTCAATTTTCAATATATTTTAAACAACTATATTATATATTTCTTTATTCTTAGTTTTACTTTTTAATTTTTTAAAAAAAAGTAATTAATACAGTACAGTCTAGAGACTTACACAGCTTGGTACAGGTCAATAAAGGATATAATTTTAAAATATGGGCCAGGCATAAAAATTAACTAGAGATGTACTGGTATTTTTTATTGGATTGGGCCGATATTTCAACATTTTTAAAATATTAGTTTTTGGCTAATATTGTAAAATTTTCCTATCCAATAAAATGGCATTTTAATTTTAAAAAAAATTTATTTTAAGTTTGATAATATATTTGTATTTTGTAAATGGATTAATGTTATTGTATAAATAATTGATTTTTCTATAAAAATATTTTCTATACTTTTAAATTCATGAATATAAACTATAACTGATCATTATAATATATTTTAATGACTTATATTATGGTATAAATTAGATTGTTAGATATGAGATGAGTAGATGTATCTAGTGATACAAAATCTCTCCATTTAAGCTGATTTTTAAAAACGGCTATCTCAATATTTTAGTTAAAATAAATTTCAATATTTTAGCTAAAATAAATTTTGCCTAAACCTCAAGATTTCTTTAATAGATGACCAAGCCTTTCCATCTATGAGCAAAATCTTTAGGTGCCTAATATTTTTCCGAATAAAATAGTGAGTTAACCCTTTTTAAAAATCGACTCAAATGAAACGTTTTTGCAACCATATGTACATGTCTGCATTAAAAATTAAAACGTTTACAAAATCAGATAATATATCTGAATTTAATATCTAATCGGACTCCAAAAAGTGGTATTGGTACACCCTTAAGATTAACTCTTCAATACTCTGGTGGTGTCTATAGGTCCCCATGTTAGAATTTAATACATAAAAACGGTTAACCATCTGGAATTTTCAGTAGCTTCATTAAATATATCTTAGAATCTATATTTTAAATTTCATTTAGTTTGGGGTTAACCATCTGGAATTTTCAGTAGCTTCATTAAATATATCTTAGAATATATTTTAAATTTCATTTAGTTTGGTTGAGTAGTTTTTAAAATATGAGCATTTGTGACTGATTGAGCTCTATTTTTTCTGGTGGAGTTTTTTTATTTCATTGCGAGCTAACTCATTTTTAAAATTATTTATATCATTTTCTATGATTTTTGTAGATTCGGATAGTAGATATAATAAAATGTTGGGAAGACTGGGGCTAGTCGAACCGATTTTTGAAAAATCGGCTATAACTGTTTCTTAGATTAATAAGAACAATATATGAATCAATACCCTATACTCTATATAGGTGCCTTATATAATCATATTTTTGAAATTTTATTTTTTGTAAAAGTTGATTCAAGCCCTAATAGCGGGGTTAGGCAAACTACTGCAAGGGACTTCCTAAACCGTTAGTTTTTTAGGCTATAAAGAATCGAAATGCATTTATATTTATTAATGATTATATAATCATTTTATTGTTCAAAATATAATACTTTTAAATTGAAGCTAATTATATATAAAAATTGAAACTTAATTTTGGTTAATTTAATAGACATATTGAACATATAAAAATAGGAATCTTTAGGAGATATTGTGATTCCTCAGTATAAATTCCAAATAGTAATTATATACAGCCATGAAACTTTTCCACTATTTTGAAAAAATCTTTTTCATCTTAACTGCCATAATTGACCTCTATGGTTTAGAAAACACCAATTGATTAATCGTGATTGAAATAATATTTAGACAAAATAAATATTTATAAAACTTTCCCAAATTATAAAAGAGGGTTTAGACTTTACTATAAAATTTAATTTATATATAAATGATTATATAACTTAATAAAAATTAAAATTCTATCATGTAAAAATCTTTTGAATTTGACTTCAAAATTTTACTTCTTAAATAAAATTTCTGATAATTATTTTAAAAGATTTATCTATAGATGCCCACTAATAAAAGCTATACTAGGATAGAATTTAAGCCTTCTAGTCTATTTAATTTTAAAATAAGATTAAATGGTTTTCCATGCTCCGGAGTTTACTTAACCCCAGTCTTCTATAATATCATTTTTTATATATTTGAGGTGAATGTGAAAAATAACATTATCATATGTTCTAAAGAAAGGAAAAAATAGCATAATGCTAACAACTTCCCAACATAATAAAAATATTGAAGCAAACCTGAAATTATAACATTTTAAATATGCTTAGAGATGGGGTGGATAAGGTTGATCAAATGGAGAAAGTTATTCAATTCGAAAAGGTCAAATCGATGTCTCCTAACTATTTTTTAAACACTTCTTAACATAACGCCAGTTAATTTGCATAATATATCAAACATAAAAAATCCATTACAATAAGTAAATTCATAAAAAATTATCAAATATTATTAGGCCATATTTGAAGTATGAAAAGAAAGTCTCAGATAGCCGTGACTTTTTTAAAGGAATCTAATTGCAATATATTAGGTAAAGAACAAAATTGGAATATTATCCATTCAAGTGGAAGGTGTTATATGTGTCAGAAATAATGATAAGAAAACTAAATATTTTTTCCAAATATGGTTTTTTTTATGATTGGAGCATATTAATGCTTTATGTTTTAAATGTTTTGCATGTCAATTAACATATTTTAATATCCTATATTTTTTTTTATTTTAGAATGTATTAGTGTAAATCTTGTTTTATATTGAAGAATAAAGATCAAAATTTTGAATTATAATGATATGATAGATAAATTATTTTTTTAAATTTAATATTTGAAATTTAAAAAAGTAAGCTTTTTTTAAAAAATTTTGGCACAAGTTATAATATCTTCATCAAATTTAATCTTAGCATAATAAATGAAAATATCCAAATATTATGAATATAAATGAAGGTAAAATATATTTAAAATTAGGGTCTATTAGACCCCACCCGAGCACTTAGGTCATTTTTTCACCGGAGTATAAAAGAGTTTAAAAATTTTTTTTTGATAAATTTGAATTATAGTCGTTATTTTAAAAATTTATTTACTTTTACTAATTTTTCTTTAAAATTCTTCCTTATATATAAATTCTTTGAGAAGGTGTGGTGGGGAAAAAATTTTATTAGCTTATTTACAAGAACAGGCAAATTTGCGATGGGCTGCTTACTCTTAAGATGGTGTCGGTATTTTTTTTTAAAAAAGGATTTCGGTATTATGGCATCTTATCAGAATCGCCAGAAAATAAAAAGCTTTTATGAAAAATATTAGAATTGTCTTTCGGAAAGAACCAAACCAACCAATCAAATAATTTTTAAAGATTGTGTATGCTAAATAAAATTTTAAATAAATGAGGTGGTGAGTTTAAAAATATAACTATGGATAGGCTGGCACATCTAAATCAATTTGTACCATTCATAATTATGGTTGACCACTAATTACGCTTCTAATGAATTGAATAACAGTGAAAAACAAATTTCCTCTATAATATTTTCATATAAAAAATTTAGTTTGTAGAAATAAAATTTTCACCTATCCAATATTTTCCAATATTCATACAAAACCCATATTTAGATTGATTTTTATTACTATTTATCCTTAAACCAATGTCTAGTGTTGTTAAAAGACTAAATCAATTAATTTAATCGGTTTAAAATGAATAATTTAGTTGGCTAAGTAGACCTATTTGGTTACCACTTAATAAAGTGACCACATGAAAAGATATTTTTTTTGTTCCAGGAATTGGCTTGGTTGAGGGATATTTTTATTTAAAAAATCTAAAATTCATCTCGAAGTTATTATTGAATATATTAAAATTTCTGAAATTTATTATGGCTAGTGACTAAAAAAATATGGACAATTATTAATACCCAAATTTTGTAAATTTTATCAAATATTAATTCTTTCTTTCTCATTAATTATTAAATGAATATAACCGGCATATAAGACCGAAGCTGAGTATTTGTCAAATGTGGCTTATACTGCTGAAAAATATTATTTGTTCAAAAATAAATAAAAAATTGGAATGTATAAGTTAGCGTCAATGTGTTATTTTTTCAACTTTAAATTATTTTTTGAGCACATTTTTTAAAATCTGATTTCCATCATGTTTGGAATACCTACCTTATGTTTTTTCATAAACTTTTAAAGTTATATAATTTACATTCGATTTTCCATATATTTTTATATAAATTATAAATGATTCAAAGGCTAACAGCAAAATTATATACAATTCATAATATAGGTATTTCAAACATGTTAAAATTCGTTTTTTGAATTTGGAAAAGCGCGCTCAAAAAATGATTTTAAAGTTGTTAAAATAACCGGAAAAAAGACGTTAACATATATAAATTTATAAAAATTACTTAGTTTAAAAAAAATGGCCCAAATTCTAATATATGAGTTAGGGCCTTGAACCCTAGCTTATAAAAAATCCCTGAAAGGGGTTCAGGGTTGGAATGAAGATAAATAAGGATTTTTAAAATTTAGTAAAAATGACAAAAACATCAGTTAGCATTCCCCATAAAAATAATCTATCATCATAATTATAACGAGAATAATAGAATACAATTAAAAGTAATATTCTAATTGTAAAATTTAAACCCATCGTGGTCTAAATTTTTCTAGTGGATGAAAAGGTTCAATTTTTTCAAATTTTATTGATTAATGTTCAAATATAATATTCTAAAAAAATCAACCAAAAACAATAATCCCAAATAGAAAATCTAGCCTGGTGCATATCTGCACCGTTAACCAATAAGAGGTTAAAAAAGATAAAAATTATGTATTATAATATAAGATCAAATTACAATAGAAATCTTTATTCCTATTTTGTAATTCATAATAAAAACGAGAAAATTTTTATTAATTATAAAAATCCTTGAAACTTTAATATAAAGTGGATTTGACATGTTTGGC